CACCATATGATCCTGTGTAATTGCTTATTGTTACCTAATGGTCCAGGGCATAGGTGACAGGACATATTTTTGTCCTTTATTCTGTTGTGGTTTTTTTTTTTGTCCTATCATTATCAAAAACAAGATCAATTTTTAAGAATTACCTAAAGCTACACTCTGCGATTATAGAGCTGGTTCTTTTTTTAAAAATTAATTATATCAGCTCTGGACCTGGGATGTTTTAGCTCTGTAAAATAATGAACATTAGTGTACGTCTGTGTATATTATCTGAAAAAATAATATTTCCTACATTTTTCACAAGAACTTACTTTTCAATGTTCAAGACTTTTGTAAGTCTTGTGACAGCAATTTTCCAGTGTTATGTACAATATATTTATAAATTCATATTCTTATAACGATACATTGAGACTTAATTAATAGAATTTTAAGATTTCAAAAGATATCTAGTGTATTTTTATAGAAAGCACCATTAATAGGTAATAAAAATAAAATTTGTCCTCTAAACTGTAAAGATTTAAATGAGATCCTGATATATTTAATCAAAGCTTTATTGGATTTTCAAAGGCCAAATTACAAAGTACTCAAAATGTTCTGTGATATTTATAAAATTCATTAATTATTTTGTATGAGGGGCATATTTCTAAAATTCTGTAAGAGGAAACCACTATATCAGTGATAAAAAAATTCCTATAATTTTCCCTTATTTTGAAATAGATATCTTATATTACTGATCTGTAAGTGTTGTTATAACCAGTGCCGTGGAAAGAGAACATGATGCCTATATATTATAGTTTGGTAACTTTTTAAATAATTTTATTGGCCTGATTCACCTTGTGTTTTTTTAACCTTCTAATTTGTTAATTATATAATGGGGATTATTTTTAAGTATAAATCTTTTTATTAGCATGTGTTTACTTATCTTTGTTTCCTGATTTATATCAATCTTATATACATAAAGTTATCCCCCCCACAGGAAAAAAAACTGACATCGGAAGTTAATAACTTTGGCTTGTTGTCATGCAGCTTTATGTTAAACGTGATCAAATAGTACACGTGAGTCTTGTTATACTCAGTGATATAGAAATAGTACCATCTACAATGAAAGAAACTCTTTCATTGTGCTAGACCGTTATAAGAATGAATTTCTGCAAAACTAGTGCACTTTTTGTCTTTAAGCCACTTATTTGCTTAACAGGCTGTCCTAAATTTTTATTTTGAAAGAAAGCATTTTGCTTGCTTTTTTGAAAGAAAGCATTTTGCTCCTCTAGCTAGGAGGTAAGAAACATAAGGAGAGTAATTATAATGGGATTTTTAAAATTCACTTACATTTCTTTGCCAATAAAATAAAGCATGTTCTCTTGTTTTTTCATAAGCTCTAAAATATGTCTTTCAATTTATTAATATTATTTTTTAAAACACACAATTGGTCATCTCTCCAGATCGAATAATATTGTTTTCCAACAATGGATTTGGCAACCATTCAGAGGCAAATAATATTATACTTTTCCGGTTTTCAAATACAATGAGCTGCTGTTTATTGCTCTCCAAATCAGGTCAAATGCCCTGTCTCTGCAGGAACATTTGCCAGAGGTACTGCGTGTTCGAATGGATGATTTTCATGTTGCATACTCAGCTTTATTTATTTCCCAGACCTCTGAAATTTTTCATTCTACCCAGCCATGTCTCCCTTTAGAAACTATGGGATCTTTATTAATTAAACAGAGTCAACAGGCCTGATTTATTCTCCCTTCTCAGCGCACTTACCAAGCACACAAATCAGAGAGGAAATATTTCTGATACTAGAATGTTCTCCAAACCAGTAAATCTGGGATTATCTCATCATGCTGATTATGTCAAAGCTTTTCAACCACAGTGTTCACCAAGTCATAAAATGGAATGGAATACTCACATTGGCCCCTTTCCAACATCATAGACAGAATGCGAGATTTTTCTTAAAATAATCAGAAAGCCCAATTATCAATAAAACTAGCTATGATCATTTATTGAATAGCTACATCTTGCCAGGTCTTTACCTTCATCATTTGGTGTTCAGTAGGTATTCTCCCTTGGGACTGGATGTTTTTACTAAAGACCCAAATTATGAGATGTGTTCTTAAACTACAGAAAATATCTCTGTTGCTTCAGTTTCATTTTTCTAGTGAGTGGTATCTTAGTCGCATGTTTGCTGCTTAGGCTGTGTGTGTGTTTAAAGGACCTACAGGAAAAAATATACAGTAAATACAAGTTTAATCACATTTGATGGTCTTTTGTTGCTTTTGGAGTAAGATCAGATGTTGGTTTGGTGATAAAAAGTACTTCATGGAAGCGACTGGCAAGGATGACTTTCTGGTTGTTCTTTGTAGTATTCATTGCTTAGATTCTATAATTACTTTTTTTTCTTACACGTCTTGCTTTTCGTTGCTTTAAATTATCAATTGAATGGACTGCCCATATTTAGGCTGTTACAATTTTCAGGTGGCAAACATTATTTGTTAAACGGCAAATAGCAAAGCTTGTACCTGATTCTTTGTTCCTGTTTTTCTTCCTTCTCCTCTTTCCCGTTGCAGGAACATAATAGGAGAGGATTTGAAATAATTGAAATTACAGTCCCTTCTTTGGGCCAACATATTGCAAATGTGTGATAAACATTAAAGATATGGGCACCAAGATTTTAAAATAAGCCAAGCAGACTCTGTAGGCTTTTTCCTTTCAAGCATGTACTTTGCATGGGATGATGTGTCCTTGTTTCACCTTGTGGAGACCTTGCAGCCTCTTATGTTACTCTCTTTAATATTTCTTTAAAACCACTTTCAGTGTAGGCAGCTTTCCAGCTCTAGAAAGGCCTTGAAATGAAGTTAACCTGTGTTGATTCAAATGCTTTAGTAAGTTTAGCCTTCATTATAAAAAAAATTCCTTCAAACCATTTTAAAAAGAGAATGGTAATATGGATTATTGTCAAGGGAACAATGGCCCTTTGTAGCATTTCACCACACTCTGAGGTTTTGAGACTATGAAGATGTCTGGGCCTTGTCATGTTCACCTTGGCTCTTACCCTGTGGTGAAACTAGGTGTTGTTAATCTTCCTCTGTGAAAAGATACATTTTTCTTATTTAAATAAAGGAGCTGAGTTTAGAATTGGAAAGAAACCAAATCAATAATGACAATGGAACTGTCCATTTTTACTAATTCTGACATTTTTCAGTTACTGTCACCAATAGCCAATAAAGCAAGTGCATTTAAAAAAAATTAGTACTGAAAATTAAACTCACTGAGCCACATCCTCAACTCTTGCTTTTATTTTATATTTTGGTACAGGGACTCACTAAGTCATTAAATTGCCCAGGCTGAGCTCGAACTTGCTCTCCTCCTGCCTCAGCCTCCCAGAGTGCTAGGATTACGGGTATATGCCATCACATCAGACTTAAGAGAGTACATTTCTGTGATAACTTCCAAATTATGTTGTATGAAACACTAGCCCTGTGTGTACTAACAGTGGAATGTTAGTTTGAGTAATACTGCATTCTCTTGGAGAGTCAGAGAGCACATTAGCATACAGAAGTTTTGGGGAAAGCCTATAGTGTAAAAAAAACCCTATTTATAGACTGTATTTAACCTAGTGAATCTGAAGTTGATTTGACTGTAGACTTCTATTCTTCATATAGAGTTTATTAAAAATTATTGGACCCCACTTTGGAAAATGTTGCTCCGTAATGTGGAAGATGCCCTCAGCTCCACAACTTTCTTTATTTGATCTTTTTTGGTGCTGACCTTCAGGTACACTTGATTTAAGACATGATTCTCTGTCTGACTTTGAGGGGTTTTTTTTGTTTGTTTTTGTTTTTTTTTTTTTTTTTTTTTTTTTTTTTTTTTTTGTACCTGGGATCGAACTCAGGTCCTTGCGCCATCAAACCGCTGAGCTAAATCCCAGCCCCTTACTTTGAGTTTTGTAGGACTGAGGATGGAGAAATTGATCTAGGATGAAAGGGAGCTGTGGGGTAAACCAGGGCTAGAAAGAATTTCAAAGGAGAGGAAACAAATCTCTATCCTACAGAAGCTGTCGTTCCAACTCTTGAGATCTGTGATGGTGGTGGATATAGGAGATACATCCAGGTGGAGTCTGGGAGTAAGAGAAGGTCTGAACAACAACATCCACCAGGCAGAAGTATGGTTCTGTGATGCTGTTTTATTACCCCCAAAGCACACACAATATCTTTTGTATCTCCTTACCTGTCTCCAATTGTGTTCTTCAAATGTTTTCCAGGATGCTGGTCATTTGTTCTGAGAACATGTCAGGCATCATAATCTCAGAGACAGGAAACATAGTTCCTGGCCTGGAGGAAACTTCATATATAATAATAAGTCCCAAAAATAAGCAGGCATAAAAAAATACACTATAATAAGAGACAAGACCATGGGCACAGATTGGAAGGATCTTAAGGGAGATCTAGTCCTTTAGAATTAGGAGTTAACCCCACAGGAAGAAGGATTGAGGCAGAGAAGAAAGCACTGTTGGGGCAAATTTTAAAAACAAGATGTTTCATTCTTTAAAGTATCTGGCCCAGAAGTCACGGCTGGAACTGGACCTTTAGCAGGTGAAGTGACGGCATGTGATTTGTCATTTAGGCCAATCTCTAGGCTAGAATGGATAATTAATTAGAAAAGAGCTAGAACAGAGATAGACAAATAACTCAGGTATTGCCTTGCCAAAGGAGAAGAGGGAAGAGATTCCAGAAATGTTACACCTCAACAACCAGAGAACTCGATGAAAAACAGTATTGGGTAAGGAAAAAAGGAGGAATTAAAGATAGTACATTCCTGCATTCATTGTTACCCAAAAAGGAAGAAGAGAATGAATTTCTTTGAATCCTAAAACATATCTAAGACTGAATCCTGTTCTAACCACAGCAGGGTGAAATCAGTGTCACCACGATTGGCCCTTGCGTGGATGGGTGGAAAGACCATCTTTCAGGTTCTAATTTGGATTCTTTGTTCCCCTCAAGTCACGTCACACAGACTACGTCATGGATGCACCCCGTGATGAGTGTCCTGAACCTGTCTTGCTCAGAGGAGAATGAAGAGGATTGCCCTAGAGAACTTGCGGACCAGAAGAGCTGATGGTTTTCCAACTCTGAGGCACAGCTGCTGTCTCAAGCAGGAGGGTGGCGTGTACTGCTTGTTGGAGAGTGAAATGGAGACCGGATTTAGAGTGTTTTGTAGAACTTTTTAAAAATTACTGTATGCAATTAGAAGGTTAGTTGCCACTACTATGGTAGTTCTTTAAGAATAATTTAGTCATATTTTTTGAAATCCCATATCGATTTTAGAATATGTATACTTTTTTCATATATAATTACATATTTGTAATTTTATAGCTAGTTTGTTATTTTCTATCAGATATGATGGTTTTATAGTTAAGATTTATATCAAAACATAGGAACGTACTAAAACACTTCATTTATTTGAAAATTCACTACCCTTTCCTATATATCTTAGGAAACTGATTTTAGCAAGCTTTTTAGGGTTTGCGGATTATATTTAGACATCAATCTCATGGGTTACTGAATACAATTTACATCTTTATGAGATTTTCTAACTTACAAAATGCTTTTCAGACTATCTTATTTAAACCACCCGACATGCTTAGCAGGCTCATCTCGTAGACCCTGTTATTGTTTTTCAGTTAGGGAGTTAGAGCATCGTGTGTCAGAGCTGAGACTCACACCTGTCTTCTCATTCCACGGCCAGCCTCCTTTCCCTGCACCCTGCTGTTCCCCCCGGAGGAGCCCCACAGCCCAACACGCGCGGGGCACCGTGGTTCTGTTGACGCAGCTGGCTCCCCAGCTGTGCGTTCTGCAGAGATCCAGAGGGGCCTTCTGCACCCGCACGGAGCCCCTGCGTAACCCCGCGACTCTCTTCCTATCATTTTTCCTCCTTCCCTCCCCCACAGCTTACCAGGTAAAGCACTGCTTTTGATGTTATTCCGATAGCTTTCGTCTAGCAGTTTGTATTTCCCTAAAGGAGAAGTGCCCTGATTTAGGAGTGTGCAAGGGGCATTGATGGAAAGATCACTGTCTCCTTGTCAGAAAATGGTGACCAAGTTCTCAGGTCAGGCATCCCCCAGGCACTGCTGTACAGACCCAAAGCTCCTAAGAACATAGTATAAGAACCATCACTATTAACCGCTTCGGAGATGAGTAAGCCAAGGCACTGAGAGTTTGTACAGTTATCGGCTGGGGCAGTGTTAACTAGACCTAGATCCCAAGTCTCCCACTCTCCTGAGTTTCCTATGACACACAAGATATATATGGTAAGTACCTGTAGATACCACATTCAGCCATACCTCCCTGAGTACGTTCAGGATTTGCGGGTTCTGTCTTGAGGAATATTATGAAGTCAGATCACAAGCAGAATGGCTGCTTCTCCAGAATGGCTGGAGCTGACCTGCTCTTCTCCTGACCCCAGTTTGGATATAAGGGAGTTTCAGAGAGACCAGTTTTGAGAGCAGCCTGAGAGGGGTCTGTTGTGTTACAGCCCCCCCAGAGGTAATGACTCTCAAACCCTGGAGTTACGTTTGTACGTTCTCACTGTGATGAACTGTGGAAGTTCAATCTTTGCTGTTTCCAAATTAATGAAATTCCATCCACTACCTGGAGCACTTTCTGTCTTCTTCTCTAGAGGAAACACCGAAGATGCGCAAGTCACTGAGCTCACGGCCCTGAGGCACGCAGTCCACTAAGACCTTATATCTCCACCGCTCTCTACGCCACTTCCCCTCCTTTTCTGTCAAATACCTAAAGGAAAAGGCCTATGAAAGTCATAATGGTATTTATTGAGCAGTTTTGCTACACTGTGATAAAGCAATTTGCATATATTATTTCATTACCTTCTTAAACAAACTAAGGCAGAAACTATAACTGTCCCCTTTTTGAAAAGAAACAGCTTGGGTTTAGAATCCTGATGGTCTGTGCCCAGTAGTCACACAGCACATAGGAGTAGAAACTGGGCTTCAGAGCAAGTCTTTGATTCCAGCCAGCACCCTTTCTTTAAACCACTGAGCAGAGCTACTTGGATTTGATCAGCTTTGTAGAGTAGCAGAACTCCACTGAACAAAAGTTCAGGGCTATCGGAACTTCCTAGTAGCTAGAACTCGTCAGAAAAGAATTCCCAGGAGAAAAGGGAAGCCCCGGTCCTATAGATTTCAGTCCATCCAAGTTCTTTACAGGGATGTTGCTGATGATATGCACCACCTGCATCAGCTGGACCAGCTGAGCGCTTTCTTAGATACCCTCTTCCTTATGCGCCTGTGACCTCAAAACCAACAGATGCTTTAAGAGACAGATGCTCAAATAATCTTACAGCAGGGACTCAGTAAGAATCATTTGTCAGTGCTACTAGAAGCCCCAAATTAATTTTTTGTGGGTTGACATTTATGTAGCCAGTGTGTCTTTAACGTAAATGGACCCTGTGATGAAGTCATCGTAAGTTTGTCTCCATTGGCCCACTGACTCCAGTGTCAGTAGGAGATGAGAGCATCATTATGTCCCTCCAGCTCCCTTCCCTGGAGTGACCAGGATGAGCTGTCCTTACTCATGCATTCCCGCAGAATATTCCCTGAGCACCAACTGTATGGCAGGGACTCACCAGGCACTCTGCAAAGTAGTGCAACAGTTAACCAGTTCCTAGCTTTACTTAACTGTTGATTTAAACAGACCTCTTAGGTAGCCAGAATGAAGCAGTTGCTTTTTAAATTTTGAAAGTCATCTATTTTCGTTTAAGATCCAAGTACTATGTAAAGGAGTAAATTAAATAAATAGTACGTCTAACTTTCCAGAGAATGCCGTCAAAACGTTGGTGGATGTTTTTACTGAAAGGAAAGCAGCTTGCCTTTAACTTAGCATAACGTGACCAGCTTTTTATGTCATGCTGATGTCATATTTTGAATGACTGAATAAAATAACTCATAATTTGTTCAGGCAACAGTTTATTGATGAGCACTTGGCTGTTTTAAGCTCTCCTCTGTAACTAACAATGCTGCAGTTAACATTGCTTTTTTTTTTTTTTTTTTTTTTTTAACACATACCAACGTTTCTTATTATAGACTTTGTTAACTTCTGAAAATGTTATTAGAATTACACACGTTCTTTTCTCCGCTTCCACATCTACTTTTATTTTGAATGTACTCTTACTGGTAGCAAAATATGAGCACCCACCGATACACTTACATTTATACTTTTTTAGATACAGTTTTGTATTTTTCTCATTGATCTAATTATTGTAAGTTTAAAAAACATTAATTTCTTTTCATTCTGCTGTTTTCATAGTCTGGTAAATTTTTATATGCAGTTAACATTTTTTTTTTTTTTTTTTTTTTGGTACCGAGGATTGAATTTGGGTCCTTGTGCTTGGGAGACAGGCGGCAGAACCGCTGAGCTAAATCCCCGGCCCTAACATTACATATTTACCAAGTCAATTTCCTTATATATCCCTGTGCTCTGGTGCCAATATATCTATAAGTGAATAAATTAATAAAATCTAATCACTAAGTCAAAGAATGGTCAAAGAGCAGTCAAAGATGTTCATTTTAATTTTGGTAGATATTCATAAATTCTCTGCCATAAATGTAGGACCAGTCTGCACTACCAATAGTATATGAGATGTTTTCTTTCCTTCCTCTATATGATACAATTTTTATGGTTGAAAGATTAACAGTGCCTTTCCCGATTTTCTTTTTGTCCTTAAAAGAATAACCTTTGCCATCATTGTCCCGACACCTGAACATTTTGTTCACGAGCTTTTAGATTTCCTCTAGCAACAGAGACCGATTCACTGTGTGTAGGGCCTTCTAGAAGTGATCCTGTAACCTCAAACACATCCTTACTCTCACCTTCTCCTACTTCACATGTAATGCTGGTGGGAACTAACTCTACAATGAGCTAACTTGCCTAAGAGCCGTCAGCAAAATACAAAGCACAGTGAAAATGCACCCACAAGGTGTTCAGGGCCTCAGCTTCCCTGCCTGTATAAAGAGGGTATACCTGTTTATCCCAAGCTAGCTGAGCTCAACGAACACTCCCTGAGTGCCTACTCAATGCCAAACCAAATCGGAATTTTTCACATTACTGTGCTGAATAGAACTGATTCCCAGATTAAGGAGCTGATAAACTAAAAAGATTTTTAAGTCTTTTATTTTTCCTTAAAGAGAGTTTTGTTTTTTAGGAGTCTTAGATTTGAATAACCCAAAATGATGTTAATACTCCTTAACTAGGAAAAGAAAACAGACCGTATGAAGAGCCCGTCCAATGATAAATGCAAGGCAGCTGTCACAATATGGAATCAAATGACACTCGTAAAATGTTTGCACAATTAGAAAATGTTATTTTTCCACCTAGGGAGAAATGGGACATTTTTATTTTCTCTGCTAAGTGAAATGCAACTTTCTGAAGGGTCAAGACACTTGACATTTTTATTAATGGAAGAGGAGAGAGAGAGAGAGAGAGAGAGAGAGAGAGAGAGAGAGAGAGAGAGAAAGAGAAAGCACTGAACCAACATTAAAACAACTTACAGTCTATTGCCTAGAACTTACCAGGACATGAAAAGAACATTAAACAAAATACGCCTGTGGAATTGAACTTTAAAAATGAAATACCCAAGGTGTTTTAGCCACAACTATTTACATGTAATGTCACTGTGTCTGCATGATTGTTTTATGAATATTAAACACAATTATGGATTTGCTTTCTTTGCATGACTTTTTACATTTAAACATACTAGTTTCATTCCTTTTTTAAGTTAAGTTTTTACCCTTGGGGCTGGGTTGGACCATCAGATCAGGAACTCTGTTCCCGTCTCTTCGTAGTTCCATTCTCCTGTCCGTTCCATCCCTTCCCCCATGTTTCTCCCTTTCACATTACTCATCATAAGGTCATGATCTTGCTTTGTTTGTTATCTTCCTCGATAACAGGAGTAACGATGGGAGCGATCTCCATCAGGGCAAGGATTTTGTCTATCTTATTCAGTATCCGGATCTAGTACAGTGCTTCTCACATAGTAGGTGTTCAACACACCTGCCGAATGGAATGTGTAATCTACAATCCCAAACTAATACTTAGTTCTCATTTTAACACTTACCTTTTTTTTTTTCTCTCTTTCACTTAGAAGCTAAGTGCTAGGCACTTTGATAAGTGCTAAGGGTACCATGCAGGGCAGATGTAACTGTAGCTTCATGTAACTTTATTCTACACAAAGGACACACAGCTGAAATTAACAGAAGGTTTTCTGTTTATTTTGTTTCTTCCACTGTTTGTCCTGTGCTTGAACTATTAGGTCCTTTAATCTTTGTTGCCTCAAGAAGGTTGTGATCAGGAAGCAGCGGAATGCAAGTTCTTTTGAGTTTCAAAAGTCTAGTTCCTTAGGGAGCTGGGAAGGATTTGTGATATAGATCAAAGATTTGAGAGCGCTATGATGAGGAGAAGCAAGGCTTTCCTACTCCTGTCTAGGAAATAACTCCCCTGGCTATGGGGAGGAAAGAAAGAACAAATGACACAGGGGGAAGAGATATAACTCCCAAACCTGCTAGATATCTGAAACGCGAGTTCGTATTCGCTAAAATCGAAGAATGAATCAATGGAGGCTAAGAGTAGGAAAAATGTATTGACAGAAAGAAAGCTTCTGTCTAAGAGAGACAGAAGGTTTGCCCGCTCACCCCACTTCTGCAAGATATTTTATACAGCCAAGCCACATGGTGAGGTGGGTACGAAGTTGGACAAAACTGTAAGACCCAGTGGAAAATTACAAGGTGGGCATGAGGTGGGGCAAAACCATGACCAACCACTAAGATTCCAAGTACACCAGACAATATTGATTGAATGGGGGTTAAATGGGGGAACAAGTCACTCAGCGAGCATTTTCAGTAGGGGTGGGGGTCAAGAATATTTCCTGGAAAGGCTGGATTAAGACCTTGGTCCCCCACCCAGGTGATTGATACCTATTTAGTATATCAGTTACTACTATTTATCCTCAGGGGAAGCACAAGGTATAGCAGTTTCTCTCCTTCTACAGTTCTGGCCTTCAGTGAATGTGTCTTTATTGTCCTCCATGTTGGCGGCTTGCTGTGACAGCCCCTTGAGGGCTGCCCTGTCTAACTGCCTACAAGGTATCTAATTAACTTACCTACCTGCAATACAAAATTTTCAAGGGACTCAGAGAAAGGAACCTGGGCCCACCTGAGCAGAGCTTCTGGGAGGAACAAAACCCCAATTACTCTTGTGAGCCATTCCTCACTCCTCTGGTTTGGAAATGATTGCGGGACATGTCCAGCCACATGCAGACTTCAACAATACTTTCAGCCCTCAAAATTCAGACGCTAAAACCTAACCCCCAAGTGCCCTTATAAAAGATGCTTAATGGAACTGTTTACCTCTTCTGCCTTATGGGAACACAGCAAGAAAATGCCACATTTGAAGCCCTGAATGATGCATCTGCTGGTGCTTTGATCTTGAACTTTCCAGCCTCAGGAACGCTAAGTGATACATTTCTATTATTTATGAATTACCTAGTCTACGACATTTCTTATAACAGCCCACACAGACCAGGACAGCCCCACAGAGTTTAGCAGTGACCCCAAATAAAAGAAGGAACTGAAGGTTGACCGAGACTAATGTTGTCAGGACCATCAGTCCCTGTTCCTGTTGTTTTGATCATCGTGGAGGCAGCTTTGCCAGGTGACACTTTTGACCTCTCCGTCCCTTCATCAGGCAGTGATTTACCTAACTGGTGAGTTTAGGATACAAAACAACTCATGTACCATTTCTCGATCGTTTCTTAAATATATTCCTTTTTCTCTGGCCATGCAAATGTTGCCTGATTTTTTTTTCCTGGTTTGTCTCATTTCTTGCCAGGATGACTGCAATATAGGCAATGATTTTCTCCCTCTACGCCTCATCTGTCCCTGTTCATCTATCTGCCACACTCCTGTCAGAGTCTCCTTTCTAAAAAAATGAATCCGATTCTGTTTTGCTCCTTGCTCCTCTTCAGTAGTCCTAGTACCTGCTGCACGAGCCCTTGACCTTCTTTGCAGGCTTGTTTTTATCTCCCATAGTCACTCAGATCTCCTGCTCGGTCTGTCTGGGAAGTTCTCCCTGCTTCCCTTCCTCCTCACATTCCTACACACCCTTCAAGGCTCCGTTCGTGGTTCAGTCTTTCTGTGAAGATGGTAACGCATCCCGCCTTCCCCATGCCCGGCACCGCCAACCTGTAGATGTCCTTCATTTCTGCAGAGCAGTCCGGCCCTTCTTCTCCTCCCAAGGGGTGGAACAGGAGCTCCCACCCCAAGACAGGCGCTGACCTGTGTGTCCAGTCCAGATACTCACCGGGTCTCTGTATTCATCACCTGATTTGGATCTGATGGGCTGGGTTACTGATTCTTAGAGGTCCTACCTTCTTCGTCCTTCCGTCATCCACGTGGTAATGAGAACTCTGGTTAAAGCTAATTCGTCTCACCCAGCATCAGCAACTAAGTGAGTAACTCACGTGGCACAGGGAGGGAAAGGAGAATATAGAAAACTGGCCTGGATAGTTGGTTCTTTTGTTGATTTGGGGTACTTTTATCAAAAATTCTGGAGGTTGAGAAAGCTAAGAGGAGTCATGCTTTAAAATCCTACCCCAGCCCTCTGTTACTACATACCTTTTAGCAAAGTTTTTAACCATGCTATATTTGCAATTAATTTGTATAGAAGGATAGGAAGTGTGTCACTCTTAATAGACTCTGGGCCTTTAAGTCAGGGTCCATAAATTATTTTTATACCTGATGAAAGAGAAGGTGCCATAAACTTCAAAAATTGTTTACATAACAGAAAAAAAGCATTTATAGTTTTCAAAAATCCTTTTAACTGTTTCCTGCTTCTGAGGAGGAAGCACAAGTTGAGTGGGAAAAAAATGAGGTGGGAGCCTAACTAAGCTTGTCTGTACTATTTCCACTAGCGTCGGATGTAGTAGGTTTTGCTGAAGAACGAAGTGTATGTCGCATAAATTTGGTCATAAAACCCAGCGTGATTGCAGCGAAATGAT